TGCAAACGAATGCAGTGATCTCGTTGCCTACCTTCCGCTTTCACTCTCTGGTTCAGCAAAATCGGCCATTCAAAGCCAGAAACACGAAACACAGTAACAAGGAATATCGTCCATTTGCTTGCAGCGCAGTCGACTCACCTTTATTTTCTTTATTACCAGAAAATATTTTCATACGTTTTATTTTTTTCTAAAAAGCTAAACGGGTTTTTTTTTTTTTGGCCTGTAATAGGCAGCAACATTTCAAATTAATTGTTATCGAGAAAACGTGTTCTACGTTGCTCAAAAGTGATAGCATTGCTAAAAGGTTCAGTACCAAACCAGTGAACATCTCGAAAAGTAAAACAGTGTGCGCAGATTTCGGCATAAGCACCAACTTGACTAAAGGCCTATCCTTCCTAAAACGTACACTAAAAAAGGTCCACATTAAACAAAAATGTTGAGGTCTTCCGTCTGGCTTCCTTTAGAAAAATAACGTTCACTGAGACCGCCGCGGAGGCGGCACCTCTGACCCCTTCCTTACGACCTTTTGCATGGCGCCATTCGGTCGGAGCCCCTGGGCTAACCCCTTAGCCCTCAGCTTAATCCGGCCCTGCTATTGCCGGGCTACCGTCTAAGCGATATAAGCACACACGCAGAGAGAAAATACAGGATATAGCGCTACTCACTACTATATATACTGATATGAAGAGAAGGAAGAATATAGTAAAAATCTATAACCCCCAAACGATGGAAAATATATAGAAGGGTGTTCGCTCGCGCACACATGCTTCAGACACCAGATCTTTTGTTTCACGCATCAAGGAGGCTAAGCTCGAGTTCGGCGAGAATCTCTTCAATGCGACGTAACCGGGGAGAGGAGGAGATTCTTTTGACTCTGCCCCCGGCGAGTTTTCCACTCCTCCTCTTACATTTCCTACCCCCCCCCCCTCCCCCCGGGCGGCGGCGAGATCCCCAGCGTAGCTCAGATTTGTACTTACGCTCGGCAGTGAAGGATTTAATTTTATTTGAATCGGGGGATCGGTGGCCGACTGCGCTATAGCGCATACCAGCTCAGACCACGTCGAGCGATAGCTCGCGTTGCAGAACCAAGAATCCTTGGTTCAATCCCTACCCATGTCCGTTTCGATCTTGATGAGCATCGTACCGGCATGCGTGTCGTCATGCACGGCGCGGACCAATCGCGGCGGGCGGCGAGTTCGGCGAAGAACTCACCTTGATCTCTCCGTGCCGAGCTTAGCCCCCCAGATCCATTGTTGGCCGTCACGTTGCCATCGCTCAGGGTGTTTCGCAGCAATCTTGGCTCGTGCGGGGTCTTCATTGTCAAAGATGAAGACAAACACCTGATCGGTTGTCCGCTGTCGCGTTGTCATCTTGCCTGGTGTCTCGCGGCAACCGTGGCTTATGTGGGGTCTTCGCTGTCTGGGTTAAGAAGTTTCTTTGCTTGTTTGTTAGTGCAACCGTACCGGCTCAACACTAATGCAATCCTTTTCTGCAGAGAGGATGTGATAAGCTTTCAGTACCTCGCGAGTCAATTTGCTTTTGTGCCTCCCTAGGATGATTGTTTTTCCGAATAACGGACTGCATGTGCACTCTTTACAATCTGTTGCAAGATCTCCTCCCACCGTGACTCTCAAGAAATAATCATGTTTGCGTAGCCTATCATTCAGGCATCTGCCCGTTTGATATACACCCCGCCTGAAGTGCACGAAAGAAAAGGCTTGGCATGTTTCTTAGTGCACTTGTGTTTTGTAGAACCATTGGCTATCGAGTTTGTAGAACCTTTGGCTGTCGTCAAATGAGGCATCTGTTGTTTTTTAGTGTTATATAGAACCTTCAGCTATTGTCCAACGAGTTGTGTTTTGTAGAACCTCCGGCTCCTGTCGAACGCGGCAGCTCCCTACTCTGTTGAGGCGTTGAACGCCGAAAAAAAACTCCCTGAGGTTTTTCAGGGTCGTGGCAACTTACAAGAAGAGTGTGACACACTGCTTCGACCAGACGCCACAACGCATGCTCTCATGTCTCCTTCTACGGATGCAAGATATCATCATCATCATCATCATTTATTATTCCTTGAAGGCCCAGGGGGCATTACACAAGGGAGTGAACACTTAAAAAACAAACAAGTAACAAAACAATTTATCTACAAAAACAGGCTGTAATCTAGTTATGGGTTAGAAAAAATAAGCTAATGGCTGCAGAAAATTTCTTAGTATCAGATAAGGTAACAATTACGTCAGGCAGTGAGTTCCAGTCGTCAATGGCCAATGGTAGAGTAGACATTTGGTGAGTGACGGTTGACGATGAAATCGGACGGAGTTTACAAGAATGGTCGAGACGAGGGAAAATGCGGTAAGGAGGTGATACCAAACTTTGTCTGAGATGACTGTTGTAATAAAAGATCCGATGAAGAAGAGAAAGACGAGACACCCTGCGGTGGTGAGAAAGAGTGTCAAGGTTAGCTGATTGGCGAAGTCCTGATATGCTTGCGTATGGGGAATAGTCGGAATAAATAAAACGGAGGGCCCTGCTTTGAACGGATTCCAGGTTGTGTTAGGTATGCCTGCCACGGTGACCATATGGAAGAAGCGAATTCTAGTTTAGTTCTGACCAAGGTAGTATAAGCTAGTTGTTTTACGGGGGATGTAGCTTGTCTGAGGTTACGGCGAAGAAATCCGAGAGTGCGGTTAGCATCGGCGATGACAGTTGTTATATGAGTGGTCCATGACAGGTCAGATGTCAGATGAATTCCTAGATATTTATACGATGAACAAGCAGTTACTGGGATGCCAGAAAAGTGGTAAGAGGAGGATAGAACATGTGAATTGCGGGAAAAAGATAGCGATTTACATTTATTATAGTTTAAAGCCATTTGCCATTTATGACACCACTGAATTATAAGTTGGAGATCGTTTTGCAAGGTTAGCTGATCGTGGCATGAATGAATGGGTCTATATATGACACAGTCATCGGCGAACAAACGTACTTCAGAAGTGATGCAATGATGGAGATCATTAATGTAGATTAAAAAAAGAAGGGGGCCAAGAACGCTTCCCTGAGGGACGCCAGACGTTACTGCGCTTGTGGTAGATTTTATATTGTTAATAGAAGTGTACTGTGTGCGATTAGTAAGGAATTCAGAAATCCAATTGACTACTGAGGGGTGAAGATTAATATTTCTTAGTTTCATTAAAAGACGTTGATGAGGGACCCTGTCAAATGCTTTGGAGAAGTCAATAAAGATGGCGTCAGTTTGAACATTGGAATCGAAATTTGAGTAAACGTCAGTTAGAAATGCTGTTAGCTGAGTTTCGCATGAGTAGGACTTGCGAAATCCGTGCTGGTGCTTAAAAAGGAGGTTATGAGAGTCTAGGAAATTTATTATGTTAGAATAGAGAATGTGCTCCAAGAGTTTGCATGAAACGCTGGTGAGCGAGATGGGACGATAGTTGCTGATTAGTTGGCGATCGCCTGTTTTATGAACGGGTATGACGTTAGCAACTTTCCAGTCTGATGGTACTTCAGAGAGATTAAGAGATTGAGAAAATATGTTGCAGAGGAAAGTGGAAGAAATGTGTTTAGTGTTTATTAATACCTTAGAGTTAATTTGGTCATCTCCGGAGCTGGAGGACACCTTTAGTTGATCTATAGCCTTAAGTACTCCAGTACGGTCAATTACGATAGGATCCATGAGGGGGTGAATGGATTGGCACGAGTCGGGAATATTTAGTAAGTCCTCGTTAGTAAAGATGGAGCAGAAGAAATTGTTAATAGCAAGAGCGCCGTGTTTATCAGAAAGCGGAAGTCCGTCGTCATCTACAAATTGCAAAGGAAGTGAAAGTGCTGGATTGATTATTTTCCAAAACTTCTTTGGTTTCGTGGTTAGTATGTTGGGGAGGTCGATACTATAGAATTTGGTTTTGGCGTGATTTATTGCTGATTTATAAGCCCTAGCGCATTCGTAGTAGGCGTTCCAAGAAGCCGTAGTGTTGGCAGCCTTAGTCCGCTTATAGAGTCTTTTTTTCCTATTCGATTGACTATGAATATTTTTATTGTACCAAGGGTTAGTGTTGTCAGATATAATACGGGTCAGCGGATTAAAGCGTTCGATTCGATAGATCATTTTATCTTTGAATAGAGTCCAGTTTTCATTAACCGTTCTTTCCCAGAAGTTAACTGAGAAAGTATGATAAAAATCTTCGAGGTTCGAGTTGATTGATGCGTAATCAGCTTTCGCGTAATTGCGAATGAATTTGCAGTAATGTGATCTACGAGGAGCAGAGAGAGAGAGAGAGAGTTAAATCGATGACGAGATGGTCACTAATGCCGGGTAAGTATGTGATGTTACTGAAGAGTGAGGGGTCTTGGCTTAAGCACAAGTCGAGTATATTGCTACAGTGATTAGTAATCCTAGTAGGCTGAGTGATAACATTTGTAAAGTTGAAATCTAAACAAAAGTCTATAAATTCTTGAGACAATGCGCAACTAGAAGAGAGGGCAGACCAGTCAACGTTCGGGTAATTGAAATCACCAAAGAGAGTAACAAAGGCGTTAGGGTATTTAGTGGTGATTTCAGAAATACACTTATATAGCTTGTTAACAAATTCTTTATCACTATCTGGCGGTCTATAGCACACAGCCACTATTACGGGGGGCGTCGTAGCGACGTACACAAATACAACTTCTAAGTCAATAAGAATTGGTATAACCCGGGACGGAATGTGATTATTTATAGCTAAAAGCACACCACCCCCCCTCCTAGCGGATCTATCACACCTATACACACGAAAGTTTGGACACAAAGGAAAAAGTTCAGTATCGGATATATCGGGGCTTAGCCACGTCTCGGTAAGCACAAGGAAATCTGCGTTGCATGCCTCAACCGAGAAAATCACATCATCTCTTTTTGGTATCAAGCTTCTAATATTAGTAAATAAAATAGAATGATAAGAAGGTTTGTTACAGATATCACGGCGTTTTGCAGGTTGATTGGATGACGAAAAACGAAATGAACGCTGGCATTGCTATGCACTTTTTTCCTTCACGGCACCAAGAGCGGCGTCATATACATAACACTTATTATCTAAAAACAGCTTATCGTGACGCAGCTTGTAAGTCGTGCCTTTAGGCTTGGCAAAATCAAGAAGGTGACGGCGCGCAAGTCGGACAGAAATGGGAAAATCTTCACTGATGGCTACACGTGTTCCCTTGAGCTTAAATGCCGACGAAAGAATGCCCTCTTTATCCTTAAATGATGAAAACTTCACAATTATAGGGCGACATTTCTGTGGATTGAACGCTCCCAAGCGGTGCGCTCTTTCAATTTTGCTTGATTCGATATTCACGCCTAGGTTGCTGGAACACAGGCCGGTTACCAAGCCCTCGGACTGGGCCCACGTTTCCCTATCGGTGTCAGTGACGCCAAAAAATAGAAGGTTGTTACGACGGGATCTGCCCTCCGCGTCGTCACAACGAGTTTTCAGCTGCGAAAGTTCGTTTAGAGCTGTAGTAAGCTGAGGTTCGGTAGGTGTGACGTTACCGATTTCCTTCTGCTTTAGTAAGTCGAGTTCAGTTGTTAGGTTGATAACGCGTTCTTCTAGAGCGGAAGCAGATTTTTCGCTTTCTATGTTTTTCTGTGTTAGTAGGTTTACCTCTTGTTGCAGAAGAGCAAGGCTACTCTGAAGTTTCGCGACCGTCTGCACAAGCGCAAGGAATTCATCCTCTTGTTGCTTGCTCATAGGGCCTGGGTTCTTCTCTACATCCCCAGACAACAAAAGCAACAAAGCTCTGAAAGATTCAATACACGCTCTAAAAGATTCAATAAAAGCTCCGGGGCATGGAAGCACAACTAGGCAAACATAATTCGACCTAAAACAGTGGCAAGGTTTACGACTACTAACCTGCGGCAAGACGAAAAACATAAGCCACCTCATCGCTGCAAAGCTTCCATGCCCACTGGCGCTCTATAGCCGGGGGGGTCCCTTTGTAGGCGCTTCCGTTGATGTCGCTGTTGATGGCATAGCACGAGCGAGGTCCTCTGTGATCTTGATCCCAGCGGGCAACACTGTGGTCGACGAGCGCGTGGCGGATGGTAGCTCGCGGTCCGTAAACCGGAGCAAAGCTGCGCCGTCATCGTGCCGCCGGCTGGAAGGGGACGCACGCGCTGACACGGACAGGAGCTGCGGCAAGACGAAAAACATAAGCCACCTCATCGCTGCAAAGCTTCCATGCCCACTGGCGCGCTGTAGCCGAGGGGGTCCCTTTGTAGGCGCTTCCGTTGATGTCGCTGTTGATGGCATAGCACGAGCGAGGTCCTCTGTGATCTTGATCCCAGCGGGCAACACTGTGGTCGACGAGCGCGTGGCGGATGGTAGCTCGCGGTCCGTAAACCGGAGCAAAGCTGCGCCGTCATCGTGTCGCCGGCTGGAAGGGGACGCACGCGCTGACACGGACAGGAGCTGGGGCAAGACGAAAAACATAAGCCACCTCATCGCTGCAAAGCTTCCATGCCCACTCTCGGCGTCATCACCTCCATAAAAGAACCCACCTCTTGGTGTGCTCCGATGGTGGTGGTACCCTAACCGTGTGGGAAGCCGAGGAGGACGACGGCGGGCGAGGGGGCAGGAGCGGTGGCCGGCGGCCCGCCGCTCGCGCCACGCGAGTTCAAGCAAGGTACGGGCAAGGAACGGTCAAGGACAGCGCTGACACCCGGACGACGACTGGCGACAGCAAGACCCACAGCCAAGGCACCCAGAGATCAGTAAAACGTTTTCAACATATCCTTGCACGTGGGACTTCTTGGGAGGGCGGACCAGGCAGTGACCGATTGGGCAGCAGTTTAGTAGAGCGACCCGCACAACTGGCACATCCAACGTGGGGCCCGATTGGTCTGCTGCTTGTTCTGTTCGTCCCGGGGAGTAACACAGACCTATTAAGCGTTCAGCGTGGTGTAGAAGGGTAAGCGCTAACCAAGCCCCCCAAGACGAGCTCGACCCCCAGTAGGGACGAGAACGACTCGTCTGAGAGCGGAACTCAGGAACTGTCTGACGCTGCGAGGGATGGCGAAGGCTCTAGTAGGCGAGCATCTCCAGATGCTGGGATTTTACCACGAGCTCCAGCTGGAGGCGCGGCAGACATCGGCGTTCTCGCGACAAATCGCGACGGCTCCAGGAGCCGCGAGTGCCGCGCCTGCGTCCCTGCCCCGACCGCGGTTGTCCGTACCGGCGCCGTCCTACGCGGGATATTCTGACGGAAAATCGGTCCACGATTTCTTAAAGCACTTGGATGCATATGTAGCCGCGTTGGGAGCATCAGACGAAACGGCCTTGGTGCAGATCGTGCCGATCACGTTAACGGGCGACGCGTCGCGTTGGAGACGGTTCCAACGACCGTTTCTATCGATGGCGGACTTCCGGACGTGGTTTAGGGAGGAATTTTCGCGCCCTGGTTATGAGATGCGGATTAGGGACGAACTAGCTAATCGCACTCAGCACCCCGACGAGAGTCTCGTGGAGTACGTTCGCGCGCTCCAGGAGCTCTACTTGAGGGCCGAACCATCCGCGTCTGACACAGAGAAGGTAGCTAGAGCGATACGGCAATGGCACCCTAGATTCCAAGCCTACCTGCGCGAACGGGATTTCCCGGATCTGAAGGCACTTGCCAGAGAGGCGGGAACGATCCAAGCGGGCTTGCTCGCTGAGCTGCAGTACCACCCCCGTCCGAGGGCCGCGGAGTCCCTAGAGCCAAGATGCGCGTGGGCAGGACGCGCCGCAGACACTCACATCGAGTCGCGCACGGCGTATACGGCCGTTGCGGAGAGCAGTCACGGGGTAGTCATAACGGGAACGCGACAGAACAGCACACGACAAAACAGCACGCGACAAAACAGCACGGTCAAAACAGCACGCGTCAAAACAGCACGGCGTCAAAACAGCACGGCGACAAAACAGCACGCGTCAAAATAGCACGCGACAAAACAGCACAGCGTCAAAACGGCACAGCGACAGAAGAGCACGTGCCAAAACAGCACGGCGTCAAAACAGCACAGCGACAAAACAGCACGCATGTAAAGAGGCTGTAATAGGTAGCGTTTTATGAAAACAAACAGAACGTAAAAAAAAGGGGTTGGACATTGCCTGGCATTATTTAACAGATAGTGGAGAAACAATAAAAAAAAGTACGCTGGCGGCAACGGGATCGCACTCAAGTCAGTGTCCCGAGTGCTGCTGCTGTGTGATTGCTAAAAACAAATAAAGTTAGCGATAGTTACTACTACTTAACTACGCTACTTTCTGAAGAGATTGGCTAGTTAGAGGGGATACCTTCGCGTCGATGTTGGCTGTGTTGTCTGGTCTTTTTTGAAGTATCAGGGAAAGAGGAAAAGTCATTGGGAAAAAGATATCCATAAGTTCAAGTTATGAACTGCCTGGTTTGTGGCGGTCCGGTGATGTTCCGTAGTACTCCTCGGTTCGTTATTACCACCTAAGCGTAGAACGTCCCTACCCCCCCCCCCCCCCCAAAAAAAAAAAAAAGAAAGCGGGAGATGCGCCGATTACAGATGCACTGATAGAACCGGTAAGATAAGGTGACTTTAATGTGGAGCGTATTCAAGGTGTACCATAGGCACCGTTTCTGGGGTGCCCATTCGGCCTTAACTGAAAAAGTTCAGTATTTTCGAGGGCGTTCGGAGTGGTGTGTGTGTGTGTGGGGGGGGGGGGGAGAGAGAATGTGACTCATAACTAGGGTTTCGTGTGGGGGGAAGTGCACGGAGTACAATGCTTGCTAATTTCTCCATTTTGATATTTGCCTCTCCGACCGCTCTCTGACCGAAGTGGTACTGAAGCTCATGCTCGTCCTGTGTACAAATACGAGCACACGACGAAAATGTCAGATCATGATAAGGCACCAATCCGTCTTACAGAACAGGCCGCGTCGGCTGCCAAAAACGCCAACAAATAAGAAGACCAGTACCTGGTACTCAATATACATTTTACACAAACGCCTTTAATTATTGCATTTTCATTAGTATACTGGTTTTCGCTAATAAACCTTATATAACTCAAAAGCTTACGAGTCTACAAATATTTACTGCAATTAACCTAAAAATTTTGTTTGAAATAAGAACCAAAAAAAAGTGCGCGGAATTTCAAATAATACAAACCGGAAACGCCGAACTCTAGCTATATTGGCAATGTCATGTTTGGACGCTGTGCTATTTTGTCGCCGTGCTGTTTTGACGCCGTGCTATTTTGGCACGTGCTCTTCTGTCGCTGTGCCGTTTTGACGCTGTGCTGTTTTGTCGCGTGCTATTTTGACGCGTGCTGTTTTGTCGCCGTGCTGTTTTGACGCTGTGCTGTTTTGACGCGTGCTGTTTTGACCGTGCTGTTTTGTCGCGTGCTGTTATGTCGTGTGCTGTTCTGTCATGGTGCCAGTCATAACGCCCCGGGCTTTGGACCCGTTCGCTTACGAGAAAAGGTGCAGGGCAGCCAACGCAAAATCGGCCCCAGTGCAGGCCCGTAGAGGTGGCGCGGAGGTTAACCACCGAGGGGGCGCGACTGGACATGAGAGTCACGGGAATTACGACTCACCGCAGTTTGCCACATATGAAGTGTCGCGTGAGAGTAACGATAGGCAGGTTGTGCGTAACGACCGGCCACAAGTAAGGTGTTACAGCTGTCACCGTCTTGGGCACATCAAGCGGTATTGCACGTGGTAGCGTCTGGCTCTCGGGGTTTCCAGGGAAACGCCAGAGGCCGGCGCCACTAAGCAGGTCCTCTGAGTCGAGGTTGTCGACCGCTGCCGAGGCCCAGTATCAGTTTGCCGACAGAGCGGAAATTGTGGCCGGCGACCGCGTGGCGATGGCCCCGTCGGCGGGTCGGGCTCAGAGCGCGACACTTGAGAAAGGCCCGTACTTGCGGGTAGAGATCGGTGGTAGAAAATATTCGGCACTAATTGATACCGGTTCTACTCTTTCTCTAATTGGCGATATCGGGTACGAGGACTGCGATAACAAGAACCTTTGCGCGCGGGAACTTGTAACTCCGCTGCGTTTAGCGACAGGATTGGCCGAAGCGCAAGGGGCGATGCGCCTTCACCTTGGCTTTGACGGCAGACGAAGGAGGCAACATTTCGTTTACTTGCCCGGTATGTCAATTCCTGTTATTTTGGAGCAGGACTTCGACTGTCGGGAGGGCATGATGGACCTGAGGAACAACGGGTATCGTTACAGTGCGTTTTCCCCTCTTATCCCCTTTGTTGCCCCATCATCTCTGGCGCAGGGAATGAAACGTTCGCTCGTTGCGTCACACCAGGAGCAGGTATTACCTGCGCGAGTAGTGCCCGGGAACGCCGAAATGATGCTTGCGTCTTTCGATGCCCCCCCACCCCCCCCCCCCCCCAACCAACGGCGGATGCTAGCGAACGCCTTGTCCTGACACGCAGCTATGTTTACCGAGAGACCGGGGCTTCCGACTGTTTTACATAGATAGATACAGGAGAGGCTAGGCCGTGGGGATGTAAACCTAGACCTCTAAGCGTACATATACGGGCTCTCCTAGACACGGCTCTCAGGAGATGCTCGACACGAGGGTTGTGCGGCCATCGCAGAGCCCTTGGGCGTTTCCAGTTGTTTTGACGCCAAAGAAAGACGGAAACTCGCGCCTTTGCGTTGATTACCGAAGACTTAATGACGTCACTAGAAGGGACGCGTATCCATTTCCATCTATTGAGTCGGTAATGTATTCGCTTGAAGGCGCGTGGGTTTTCACGACACTGGATTGCGGCAGGGGCTTTCTCCAGATCTAGGTGGCGCCAGACGATGTCCAAAAGACGGTGTTCACCTGTTACAGGGGGTTATTTGAGTTTACGCACCTTCCTTTTGGGTTGTCGAACTCGCTGTTGAGTTTCCAACGGCTCATGGACGTCCTGCTGGTGACGAGAAATTTAACTTCGCTAT